ATATACATATATATATACATATGTATATATACATATATATACACATATATACATATATATATATATATACATATGTATATATACATATATATACACATATATACATATATATATATACATATATATATACACATATATACATATATATATATATATATATACATGCATATATCTATATATACATGCATATATCTATATATAGTGTATATAAAATCATCCTTTATTAAAATAGGGCAGTGGTGGCTTAGCGGTTAAGGAAGCAGACTTGGTTCCAGAAGGCTACATGTTCAATTCCACCAACTGCCAAGTTACCACTGAGGTGCTCTGAGCAAGGCACCGTCCCCACCCACTGCTCCCCAGGTGTTCACTTTGGTGATGGGTTAAAAGCAGAGGTCACATTTTGTGTTGTGCGTAGTTCACTTTCTTTTTCTAAAATACTATTATCGTGTTGACCGTCATACGTTGTTGTCCAATGGGAATCTGTGAGTAGTTTGCTCTGAATCCAGGAAAGTTTTTGTCCTCGTTAGTGACCAGGGTCAACAACATGACATTTCCCGATGAAATGAAAGAGAGGGAATGATGAGGGTAACCACACTGTCTGGAAGCGAAGAAAAACAGAAAGTTTAGTTTAAACAACTGATTTAGACAAGAACTGGTATATATGGTAAAAAAAAGAACAAATTAACATGATGGACACTAGGGCATTAACACACAAACGTGTTGATGTGTCAGTATCCTGAGAGGGCGCGGTGGCCAAGTGGTAAGGCGTCAGTCTCGTAAACTGAAAATCACGGGTTCGAATCCCGTCCGTGCCTTCATTAAAGTCAGTTTCATGGCGTAGCGGTTAGCATGCCTACTCTCTACCTCTGATGGTTTGTGCTAATGTTTTATCCTCAATTTAACTGACCATGTCAATAATCACTTAAAATATCGGTGGTAACTTTAATTGACATGGAAGGAAAATTCATACAAAAACGCATTGATCCGCCTATTATTGCTCCCGGGCACACTTAGGGGAAAAGCAGTACCAGTTGTGCATTAATCAAAAAAAAAAAAAAACAAAAAAAAAAAACAGTGGAATTCACACTCAAGATATGCTGGAGTGGCTACATGACCAGAGTATCCCTGTGTAAACCACCTGGGTGGATGAAACGATCGAAAAACCAAGAGAGGAAAAGTGAC